GGAATCATCAGCATGTGGAAGGCAGTCGAGACTATGGGGTAAATGAACTTCATCCCAGACAGGTATGCAGAATAAGAGAGAGAAATGAGCTCAGAGAAACACCGTCATTGAAGAACTGCACAGAGGAAGAAAAGCTAGAAAAGGAAATTGAGAAGTGACAGTGAAGAAGAAGGAAAATCAAGAGAATGAGATACAGCAGAGTCAGGAAAGAAGTCTCAAGGGGAGTACAGCCAACTACATCGTCATAAAGAGTGTTTATTACAAAATAAACTCCATCTTTGATGTTTGACTCTGACAGCTCTCAGGCCTCACCATCTCCCACTTGTGAGCAAGCCTATAAGAAAGCCTGGGTGCTTCCTCTTTCGGCCTTAGCAGAAAGTTCAAACCGTGCCAGGTCCTGCTCACATGCACAAACCCTTGCCCGAGCCCTACTCCCTAACCACCATAAAACTCCAGGATACTCTCCTTTCCCTGGTCGCTCAAACCATTTGAAAACCAACTTGGGATTTTCCCCTTCTTTCTCCCAGGAAGCCTCATTTTGTGAGTAATAAACCTTGTCACATTCTCTTGGTCTATGTGTGGCATCATTTGTTTCAACATCAAAACCATGGTTGGGTGGGAGGACCCATCCTATCTCTCAGGGTGACCGCAACCATAAGCCAAATATTCTCACATAACATAAGGTCCGAGAAGAGTCCCTGCGTTTGGCAGCCGTGAGGCCCAGGACAGGCTCAGCGTTAGTGGAGAGATGGAAATAAAAACCTGAGCATCGACGTGTGAAGGAGAGAGAAGGCAGTAAGATGGAGGCAGTGAATACAAACAACCCTTTCCCACAAGTTTCACTGTAAAAGGGAGGCAAAAGGTATGGTAATCGGGGAGGAAGGGGCGGGCATGGGATCAAGAAAAGGCTCTGCTTACTGGAGTTTCGACACAGCAGAGACCTGAGCACAATTAAAGAGAACTAAGCAGGGGAGAGGGAGGGAGAGAATTCAGAGTAGGAAAGAGGAATGGATTGAGAGAAACTCCCGAGAAGGGGTGCAGGACCCAGAGCCAAGGTGGAGTAACTCATAATTCATTCTGGACAGTAAGCAGCAGGGGAGCACACTTGGAGGTGTCAATTAGCTTGCACACCTCTGGGCAGATCTTTGCACTTTAGGGAGGGAAGTAATAAACTGGAATTTAGGGAAGAGGTGTTAGGATTGGAGGAGAAGAGATCTGAGATGGCCTACAAGGACAGAGACAGTGCTTGTCCTCAAAACAGAGAAGGATTTGGGCACAGGACGAAAGGGTCGTGTGCCCTTCTTCCTGCCATCTTGGAGCATTGCTCTCTCCTTGGGTTTGCCAGTTTGGAAAATCTGCCTACTGTTTTTTCTATCACTCTCTGCCTCCACCAAATGGATATGATCTACTCTTTTTTTTAATGTCTGTGTATAACTGAATCACTATGATCTACTCTTTACAACTCACGTCAGTATTTTGTTTTTAAACTAGTCACTTATCTCATTATAAAGTCTAGAAAATATAAATATAAGCAAGCAGACAAAGAAACGTTTTATTCCCTATAAACCTAGTCCTAGAGATTATGACTATTCATATCATAATCATTTTTAGCGCCTGAAAGAGAATGACAAAAATATACCTTCGATACAGAAAATAGAGATGGTGTCGTTTATACCAACTGCTTTCTTGCTTTTGTCCACTTATTGTATTGCGAATGCTTTCCCATGCCTTTAATAGTCTCCCAAACACCTTTAATGATGGCAGGATATTTCATGACTTGGCTGTACCAGTGTAGCACCGTACTGTTTAGTGGACATTCATTTTTGTTTTATTGAATTTTTGTTCTTCAGTTTTTTTTTCCTGCTCAATTTCCCTCCGGGGAATTCATACGGTTTGGATGATGCTGTCTCTACTTATGACTTCAAGGTCAGAGTCCTTGCATCTCCCTGTCCTCAGGGATGAGATTCAGGGTGAGCAGTGCCATCTTCAAATTCTGGGAGGAAAGGGGCAAGGAATCTAGGGGCCAGGAAAAAGTGCCTACCTGTCCTCTTCTGTGCTCCGCTGCAAGGAGAAATGACGCACACGAAAGGGGGAGAATGAAGGCTGGGTGCTCCCTGAGGCCAGAGCCTACGTCTTATTCGTGCGTGTTTCTTCACTCCTAACCCAGAGGCTTCAGAGAGCATGCACGTGAGGGAGCTCCAGCTATGGCTGTGCCAGCCCGGTCACCCCCAAAGCTGACACAGCAGGGGGGATGGAAGAGAAAAGTCAGATCCAGCACTTATCTTTTTCCCTCTCAAAACAACATTCAACAGCCTTGAGAAGAAGAAGCAGGAAGGGAATGTACTTGGCTAATAGTTTGCTAGTTGCTTCCTTCTTTGAAAAAGAAATGAACAAAAAGTAATATCAAGCGCCCGCACTGAACGTCATAGTTTATAAAACGCTTTCAGTGCATTACCTACTTTGGGCCTCAAAACAACACTGTCGAGAGAAATCATCACTGCCCCGCGCATGAAGGATGCAAAAATTGAGACACATGGATACTGAGTACATTGTTCAGGGTCATGCAGAGAACAAGTCTGACCATCAAGGGGGCTTTTCCACTACTCGGAGAACTGCACAGAGTTAGCCTGCGCCCGGTCTGTCTAGGCTGATTTCCCTGCCAGCCTTTCCCGACTTCTCCTCCTGCCTGCATGTCCTAGAAGGAACTTTAGGGCCCCATTCGTTCGTACATCGCCGGGCTCCCTCACCCAAGTGAGGAACAAGGCTGACATAGTTCGTTGGGTAAACACAAGCAGCAAGTGACAGTGATTTACTCCCGACCTGCAGACTTCTGATTACCAATCCACTGCCGGCTATGTAAACAGGTGTAAACTAAGATTAAAATCAGTTTACACAGTGCGGTAAATAATTTAATCTCTCCTCTGCATGGTGCTTGCGAATGTAAATGTTTAAGTCCAGACTGATGCTGACGTCATGATGCAAGCTTCCAGTTTCTCAACCGGAAAAGCCGTGCCAGCAAATGGCCCTTGTGTGCCCCTGCCGGGGTGGGGAAGCTGGAGTCGGAGATGTGGGGGAGGCAGAAAGTCCATCGTTTGGGTAGGGGGAAGCTTCAGTGTTCCCAACGCAAAGCTCAGCCACGGGCCGAGGGCAGCAGGAACATCCCTCCATCCCGTATTCCTCCTGGTCCTGCGACTTCTCTCTCTCCCTCTATTCCTCACTGAACTATTTTGCAGACTCTTGAGTTGGCTGCAGGAGTGTGAAAAGGGAGACAAGAAAAGGAAAAAAAAAGAAAGAAAGAAAGAAAAGCAGGAAAACAGCAGCCTGCAGGCTGGTTGTGATCCGGTTCTCACTGGAAGATGACCTGGGCACTCACCGCCTGTCAGTGCGTGCTAATGCAAATTGACCACGATCCTAAGAACGTCACATGCAAATGTGTTTCCGGTTGTCAAAAACCACTGACTATACCTGCTAGAATCACTGAACCAGAATGCTGCTTCCTATGAATTTTTCATCAGTATTATTCGTGTTCTAATTAGCCCGTCTATTTTGCCTCGGGCTGAAGTGGTGAGGAAGGGACTTCCCGCTCCCTGTCCCAAATATGATCTGGGGCTTTCTTTGGAGAGGAAGGCTGTGGGCTAAGCCGGACTCAACCCGCCCCATACTGAGATGGCTGGATACTGACTACGAGAAGGGTCAATGTGAGCCAGAGAGTGAGCTTCCTGGTTTTCTTCTGTTCCCTTAGAGAATTCTAGGTTGCAATCAAAGTTTGTGTCTCCTGTAATCATCGGTAATGCCATGGCTGGGATTTTGTTAGTTCAAAACAAACACAAAAACAAAACAAAACCTTAAAAAAATACCAACTATGGTCAGATTTTGGACTAAGTCCTGGGTAAGAAATGAATTCGATTTTCTCCTTCACTGACATCATTCGTGGTGAGGAAGTAACGGTCACCATTTACTGAGTACAAGGAGTCTCTTCTTCTGAAAGCTCTTTGCTGGTTTCGTTTGTTCAGAAAAGGTTTCTTTTTCTGAAATCATTTATTGAGCACTTAGCACAAGCCAGGCACTGGGCCGAACATGTGTCGTGTAATCCTCAACTCAGCATTCTGCTGAGGGCATTATCCTCAGTTTACAAAAGGGATGAGACCCAAAGAGTTAAGGAACGCGCCTGAGCTTACTCAGCTAATCAAATGGGGGAAGACAGGGATTTGAACCCCAGCGTGACTTTCTTCAAAAGCCTTCCTCTTAAAATTATGCAGTAAGGTTTTTGCTCTTTCGGGTCCACCATGGGTCCAGAAGGAAGGCCCTCTTGATTTCTGGGTCTAGGGGTGAAGATACAGAAAGTCCAGGAAGGAGAAAGCAGAGAGACTAAAATTAAAATGTTCATAGCTAATATGTACTGAGTTTTATCTTTCATAGAAAAATTTACGGACTCATGTTTTATACATGTTAATTTATTTAGTGCCTTTACTATTATTATTATCATCATCATCCTCATTTAACAGATGAGAAAGATTGAGGCAGAGAAAGAAAACGTCCCAGAATCACATAGCTAATAAGCATCTGAGTCAGGGAGCGTCCCAGGCAGCCTCTCCCATGGCCACAATCACGGGCCTCCAACTGCCCTAAGGAGGATGCTCCAGCACAAAGCTGGCTCTAGGTAACATGCGTAACACTTGGGAAGCTCCTGCCACTTCCTTCCGAGGAAACTAATAATTTGGGCAGAGATTCTTTAAAAAAGCACCTCCACGAGACTGTGGAATCTCTTACGGGGAAGAATATCTTTACAGAAAGCATATGAAGCCAAGCTGCCTGTCATGACTGGGGGACACACCTGTGCAGGTGAAGAGAGATTATATAAACAAACACACACAACAATGGACAACCCAGAAGGTCTTAATATTCTTTCCAAAACAACACTCTAGGATTTGCAAATGAGGGGAAAGGAGCAAGACATAAGGGTGGAGAGACCTGCAAAGGCCAGGGACAATCCAACTTACTTCCTGACTTGACTCTCCGCACTGCCCATCACGTAGTAGCCTGGTTTGCATTCGTATCTGCAGACGGAGCCCACATCATGGTTGCCCTGGAGGCAGCGAGGCTGGAGCAAGTTGGCGTTCAGGATAACAGGGGGAACATCACACTCCAGCTTGCAGTAGGCTTCGGGGAGAGACCAGAGCCCATCTTCAAGGCAGGTCAGCCATGGGCTCAGTCCTGACTCCAAGAAAGAGAAGCACAGGATGCTCAGAACAGAGAGTCCAGAAATAAAATGCTAGCAGAAAGAACGAAAACCTGTCAACATAACATCATTCTTGGAAAGTCACATTACTCTTTGTAGAGCAGCGTCTTTAAAACCTCAGGTCAAATGTTTATCTTCTATCTTTTCACCCACAGAGCATCTACTGAAATCTCTTACACGGCATAGAGGTCAGAATGCTCTTTCTTGACCTGAAAGAAAGAAGGGCTACCAACCAAATCATTACCTCACTTCCTAACTACAAATAATAAAAATCGAGTAGTGACAGCACCATGGAAAGCATTATAATAATAATAGATGACACTTTTATAGTGCTTATTGTATACCAGGCACTGATCTGAGCATTTTACATGTATTCACTTGTGCAAACTTCAAACCTCAAACAACCCTGTGAAATAGACACCATCATTATCCCCTATTTCACAGATGAGAAAATTGAGTGTAGGTAACTTATCCAAGCTAGTGAGGGCAGAGGCAGGGTTTGAACTCAGGCAGTTTGGGTGCAAAGTTCTGTACTTGAACACCACACCATATGTCTCCATGCCATTCAAAGTTTCTCCAAAAGCAATCCATGGACAGCCCCCACAGTAGCATCACCAGCCCAGCTTGGACCTACTAAATCAGAATCTGTCAGCATGAGGCTGAGGATGTTGCATTTGTAACAAGCATCCTTCGTCATTATTAGGCACACCTGGGTCAAAGAGGTAACGCGCAGGTTTGGGATCAGAGCACACCTTGCTCTTTACCTGTTGGAGCAAGTTCTAACCCATCGTCATCCCTTCCTTGCTGTGCAGCCAGGGACAGCTCATAAAACCGTGCTCTCATCTCTCAAATAGAACTAAAAGCACCTAACTCATAGGATGGTTGTAATATTGAATTTAAAAATGCATGTGATAAAGGTTATATTGATTATTACTAGTATCGGAAAACTGTTAGTGGCTTGACTTCAGAGGACACGAAGTCAAATGAAAAACAGGAAAGTCTAAGTTTCTTTCATGAATGAGATCTTGAGTAAGGGTATCCTTTCAGGTTGTTGAGACAAAGAATGGTGTTGCCCTTTGGGACTTTGCTTGTATTATCAGAAGAGGGAGGTACAGCAGAGCGAAATGGGAAGAGTTCTGGGGTGAAGAAAAGATCCCCAAAGAGAGAGAATCAGAAGAGAACATGCATTCAGCTCCCGGTTGGCCAGACAATACCTTGAAGCTTGGCTGGTGGGACACAGGAGATGGAGCAGCGTTTCAGAAAGTTGGTTCCCTCTGAGCAGGAGAAGGTTGCATAGTTCACCAGAGATGGGTCAGGGGCACCGCAGTCAAGGGGCATGCAGCTCACAGCCCGGTCCCAGTACCCAGCGGAACACGTGAGCAGAATTTCTTTCTAGAAACAGAGAAGTTTCTGCTATCAAGGTCACATAAAAGGCTCATCAAAATAGTTTCCAGGCTTCCAAAGAGTCCTGATGATTATCTGTGCAAACGTTCAGAATTATTTTGTCTTTCTCCCCCTTTATGCCTTATTGTCTTAGTATGCAGTCTCATAATACCCCAGTCTGAAGCTGATGAAAGGTACCCATCAGTGGAAGAGAATCATTAAAGAAAGATATTCCTCCTGGCCAGCTCTTGGTAGTTATCCACGTGCTTCCCCAGATCGCTCTCTACCCTTCTCCACCCTGCTCTGTGCCCCGGGATGCTGACCCCTGTGGATTTCATGCCTCCGACCTGTGCTTGGTATAGCATCCAGGACAACACTGGCAGGAGACTGGAGGGGGAGAGAGGAAGGGGAGGTCAGGGTGCTGATTCTTGCTACTCCCTCTCCTTATAATTTCTCTATATCCTGCCTCCACCTTTACAAGTAGTCCCTTTATTGAAGTCTCGCAAATTGCTCACCTTTGAGCATGTAGCATCTGTTTCCTGCTGGGGCCCCTTACTGATACAGGCCAACTGATACTGCTACTAAACATAATTACCTCCTGAGAACGTGCCTGCTCTCTAAGAATAGCTGAGAACGAATGCATAGGAGGCATCTTCTAAACTTTGTGATTAAATTTGGGAGATTCCAGCCATTTCCCTGGGCCTATGGTTTCTGTAGGAGAGCCCTAGAGAGTTGATGACCACGAAATAAATGAGGAGACATTTTTGAAGCCCCAGGTTCTTTACTAGATTTGGTTAAACAAGACCCTCAAGGAGCTAATAATCTGCCAGCAGAGCAAATCACAGGTTGAAACAGTGCTCAGAAAACATCTGAAGGGGAACAAATGGAAAGAGAGAAAGGAAAGGAGGAAAAAAAGGAAAATGCAAGAGATATACTTAGATATATTTTTATGTCCTATCCCCTTCTATAATGATCTGAAAGCATATCATACAAAGCAAGTAAATGAAGAAAATAAAAGAAGTAGAAAGCAGGCACTGAGAAGAAAGAAAATATAAATATATAAAAGCAATATCATTCATGCACGCTTGTCTGTCCCTGGGCAGGAGGGAGAGTACTGTGGGGGGAGGTTCCCGGGTAGGTCACTCAGGGAGTGGCCTTTGGAAGCTGAGCAGGGCTTCCCAGCTGCAGAGAGAAGCAGGGAGACGAAAGAGTGAGGGGAGCAGGATGCACAGGCACTGAGAGAACTGGACGCTCCTGGCTTGTCTGGGGAAAAGAGCAGCCGTCGTGTTATTCTAGCCCGTGGGTTACCAAAGGTCAAATGGAGAGAGGGCAGGCTCTGCGGCTCCGCCGGCCATCCCGCCAGGAGACCACAGGGGCGCCAAAGCCAAAGAGGTAAAATGACTGGTGAAAGCACCTGTCACCCCTGACACCCACTCCTGGCTCGCTGCTCCTCCCTGCTTCCCAGTGTTTCCCTGTTGCCTGCCAGAAGGACCCAATTCAAAGCCAGACACATTTTTCTGTTTAGTTTCAGTTCTTGTGTCAACAAAAAGCAAAAATCCTCATGTCCTGTGGTCACGAGCTGGGATCGTGTAATCTCTTCCGTGGGGCCAGCCTCGGGTGACAGGAGCGGACAGCCGGAGAGCCGGGTCTGCTGACTCCACCAGACGCCTGGCCCGGCGTGCGCTCCCACCTTCCTCCTCCCACCTCTGCCCCTTGCACCCTGACCACAGCCTGGAAGAATGGCTCAAACCACAACAATCCCTTAAAGAGTGTCTGTCAAACTCTGCATACATTGCCTGGCTTCATTAAGTATCTGCCATTTTGTCTTGAATTTGCTCCTAATTTGAATGCGTTGCAAACACCGCCTTTTCTTCTCTCCTCTTCTGCCCACCAATGTACTCAGTTCCTACGTTTTTAAATTCTTTTTCATTTTTCCCATCTCTTTTCCAGTGTGAGTTAAGCTGGATTAAGGACAAGTGATAAGAGCTCTGCCTTTCTGATCCAAGCATCATGGGCCAAGGAGTTGGTACTTCAAGGTATATTAAAACTGTTTCTCTCTGTAGAACCTAAACCCTCTGAAAACAAAGATTGTGTCTTTAAATTCTGACTATGTCTAAGCAAGTGAAATTCCTCCATGGATCCACCACCACCTGCTAAGCAGACAGCTGGTACAAGATGAAAAAAGATTCCAATCTTCCAAACCAGTGATACCTGACTACCGATCATACTTCCATACTTCCCTCATCAGACCACACCTTTCTGCCCTCTCCTCAAGCACCATTCCCTTTTACCTAATTCATCCTTCCTCTGTCTCATATTATGCTCATGTTTTCCAATGGTGGATTTCCAGTTTCAAATACTTCTTTAAATTTAAATCAAAATTTAAAAAATTTTTGATTTAAATGTTAAATCAAAATTCAAATTCTTTAGAGATTATTGAAAATTCTCTCAAGGAAAGATGGAAAACAAAATTCTTAGTTGAGACTACATTATCATACTCATAACAACGGCAGCTTAACAGAGAGCTAGGGGAGGGTATAGCTCAAGTGGTAGAGCCCCATGCTTAGCATGCGTGAGGTCTTGAGTTCAATCCCCAGTGCCTCCATTTAAATAAACAAACAAACAAACAAAAAAACCTAATTAACTCCCCTCCAAAATAAATGAATAAATTAAAAAAAAACCAAGCTACGTGCCTTTCACTTTGCTAGAAACTTGTAAATTATTTCCAGTCATTAAAATAACCCAATAACAAAAATACTTCGGATCTAATTATTTTACAAATGTGGAAACAAACTTGAAGAGGTTAGTTTCTTTCTGTTTGTCTTTGCCTAAAATGACGCACCCAATAAACAGTGGAGTCAAAATTTCATTCCAAGTCTGTCTCCCAAGCCATACTCTTAACAAATACATTCTACTGCCTTCAAATCACCTTGAAATCCTGGAAATGGTGCCATTGTAGCTACAGAAATTTGGGAAATTTGATCAAAGCTAGAATCATGATATAATCCTCACCTCAGTAACCGAGGGAAGAAAGTCAGACTTTTCCCTTTTTCCTCCAGCATTCTTGTAAGGGGGGCTGGAGGGTCAGACAACGAACCACACACAAGCTGACTGCAACCTGTCTTGCCTGCAAATTGTGGTCAAGTCTAACCTGTAGCATTCTAGTCTCGGTGGCAGAAGCGAGGATCGTGATTTCTGACAGGAAGACAAAAGCAAGGGGGAAGGACGGACAGAGCGAGCCTACCTGCTGCCTGCCTGGAGAGACACTGACCCCCCAGCTAACAGAAACACGCCTGTCCTTACATGCCTTGCATTTCTATAAAGCCATGCTCCTCCTTGCTTGCGGGAGTTCTCATTTTTCCTTTCAGAGGATTTAAAAACACCTGCCTTTCCCCTATCCCACCAGGGGGAGGAGCATGCATACGGTCCGTCCCCAGGAGCTTTGGTCCCGATGACCATGGGTTTCCAACTCACCTGCATGGGCCTGAGGTACTGCCCACTGCTGGCCTGAAGGGCAAACCCCCTTTGACAGGTGATAGCACACGTCATGTGACCTGGGCCACCAGAGGTACAGTTCACCACCTCCGCGTGATCAAGCAGCAGCGGCACACAGCTACCCTGCTTCCCGCACGGCCAATGGACACAGCTGGGGACGAGAGAAACAGAAGTATCTTAGACTGACTCGGAACTGACACGCCACAGCAGAGGCTCGGGGCCTCCCTCTGGGAAGGGCCTCGAAACCGAAGAGAACAATGTTTCTCCAAAACCTACATTAAATTCTTCACCTCCTTCTATGGGACCTGGAACCATGCAACATAAAATGAACAAGAACAGTATCAGCTAGCGAGGGACGATGGACCAGCTTTCTGCGGGTCTTCCAGGAGGACAAAATGATGATGGGACAGGTGGGGAGTGTGTCCCAGGAGCTCTGGATGGCATCAGAAATGAATAGATCAGACGGTAATCCTCAAAATATTTCACAACCAGTATTTATGGGTCTCAAACAATCAGATCAGATGCAGGACAAAGGCCAGGAGTGAGTCCTGGGGGCCCCTGGCTGTGTCAGGCACTAACCTCTTTGTTGTTCGATCCCAGGTTGGTTGCAGGGGTCCCTGTGGGAAGGGTGCAGGCGTTTGAGACGGCCAAGAAAGCAACATTTATTTACTGATTGGCATAGAAAAAATTTTTTCGTACCCTATACATATTTTAATGCAAAATAGATCATAGACATAAATGTAAAAACCTAAAACTAGAAAAACCATAGAAAATCCTTGTGATCTTGAGCTAGGCAGAGATCACTTAGAAGAGATTTTTTTTTTTAATTGAAGTACAGTCAGTTACAACGTGTCAATTTCTGGTGTACAGCACAATGTCCCAGTCATGCATATACATACATATATTTGTTTTCATATTCTTTTTCAATGGTATAGAAATATTTTTGACAACTATCAGCACTGGCTAACCAGAAATTGGCTCATGACAGAGAGAGGAGACTCATGCGTACCAAATCCCTGCCACATGCCTGCCACTGTGTCTGATGCTGCCAGGACATCATCTCAGCAGAGAACTGCTGTCTGAATCTCTAGGGCTAGTCAACCGGGAGCAGGAGAAAGAGTTAAACTCCCTGGGGCTCAGGCAGACTCCTCTGGGACCACACCAGAGCCAAAAGAGCATTACCTTCTTATCAAGGCAGAACCACAGAGATCAAACATTAGAGCACTGCCCCCAGGCTGTGTGAATTTGGATCCTGGATCACTATTTACTACCTGTGTCATTGGGCTGAGTTCTTTATTCCTCAGTGTTTTCAGCTCCTTCCCCCTTGAGATGGGGGTGGATAATGGTACACATCCCACAGGGCTGTTACTGCTCCTGGGTTAGCTCTCTCTACTGCTCCCCTGCAGAAGCCCCAAGTCCCATATCCAGGGGCCTGTTTCCTATGAGCCACCCATGTGTTTTGTTTTTTCCCATTTCTGTACCTTTGGTCAATGTGTTGAGTTTTCTAAAAGGCCTTCCTGTTCCAAGAAGCCCCTCCAGATATCTTACTCCTTTGAACCTTCCAGGAAAATTTTACAAATAACTCCAATAACACTTATTTTACTCTATCTTTTACTGTAGTCATGGACGCATTCACTTGTTCCTTAGTTAATTAACTTATCCATCCTTTGACCCACAGGCAATTAGTATCTGAGCTTCCCCTAAGTGCTGAATCTTCCAACTCCATCATGAACTTGAAGACAAAGACCGAGTTTTACCCACTTCAGTATTCACCATACACCTCATTATAGGAGATACGATTCAGTTGGCTGAATTAAATTTGCTCATATTATAGACATCAAAGTAAGTCAATGGTTATCAAAATGGTAAATTTGTTAAATCTGATAGAGACAGATGGGGATCTGAAATACAAAAACATCATTACCAAACAATGAGTCAACCATCCTGCCTTACTCATTCATTCATTCATAAACATTTACTGAGCACTTAGTGTCTGCAAGGCATTGTCCTCAGGACTGGGGATTAAATAAGTATGCCCTCAAAGAACTCATAATCTAGTGGGGGAGAACAACAAGCTATTTTCCTACTTCTTTTTCTCATGATGTTGTTGCCAGCGGTACTACAAATTAGTGAAAATGCCTTCTGTAGGTCTTGTCATCATCAACTGGCTCTATTTGCCCTTGAATTGTGTTAGCAGTCAATCAAGGAGCGGGCAACAATATAAGAAAGTGGAAAATAAAATGCCATTGAACTGCACACACTATCTTGAAATAACTGAGAATTGATTTTAAAAGCACTAGTCCAAAAAGTAGGGCCCTGATTTGAACATGCTGAAGTTGCTGCCCCTGGTCTTGTACCGTGAGATTTAAGTTCTATGCCAATGACATTCTCATTTCTTGTATCTATGCTTCTTAGGTACAGAATGGGGATTGGAGTTGAATGGTATGCAAGACACTTTTTTACTTCTTTAAGCCCTGATTATTCTCTGTCGTGGTGCAGTATCCCTCCGACTCACGCCACAGAGCCTGGTGAAGACAGGGATGTATGAGTTGGGAGGGAGGGTTGTTAATTGTCTGCAAGGATTCTCTAAATCCAGTGCTGATAACTAGGTATGCAATACGTGAAATAAATCTTTGTCTCTCAGTCTTTATTCAGCCTAGCTTGATAAGGAATCTGAAACTTGACCATCCTTCATGGAATGAGATCAGAACACCTCATTAGTGATGCTGAAGAACACCAAGTTCCATAGATGCTACATGTCCTTGAATGTGCACAAAACGTAGTACTTCTGCAGCACGTTAAGCAGAGAGAGTCATTAACATTTCTGGTTCACGTCAGCTTACTGCCAAGAAATTAATATGAAATAGCACGAGCTGTTTTCCAGTGACTCCATCCAATTCATCCATGTCATCACTGGGGACAAACACGTACTGAGATAAGTCACAAAACAAATACTCTGAATGAGCCTCCTTCCATCAAGATGGTGTTCCAGTAACTACTGTTGCTATGACTACCGGTGGGAGAAGTCCATCCAGCACTGGCAGCAAGGGAGGAAGAATGAGACAGGGGATCATAGAAGACGGTGGGAAAGTGGCATGAAATAAGACCAAGGAGGGAAAAAAAAGCATCAAACCCAGACCTGTTTATGAAGTGAGAAATGGTTTCAGGGCAGCTCCTGCAAATTCTTTCACTAGATTATGTTTCCATTTGTTTCCTTTTTAAGGAATTTGTTTTATGAGGACGGTGTTTGTCAGGTCGTTGGCTTCTGATGGCATCTGGTACCAATTGTAGGCGTCTCTTTCTTGCACCCCAACCCCAAAGCCCCTTTTGTGTTTCTCTTCCACTACAAACACTGCTCCTTTGAGTGAAGCTGTTGTGTCCTCCATTTTCCCACGCTCCTGATACATCCTTCCTCCTGCGGACTGCTACATTAAGCCCCAATATCATAATGATAATGGTAATAGTAAAAACAAAATTAGTCTGAAAACTTTTCAAAAGCTTTCTTCTTATGATCTTTGGACTAACGTTAATGAAAGTGGCAGCAGTGAAGCCTTCCAATGCCCCAGAGAGATGGGGAGTTAGGTATTTATCTTGGTTTGACATACAAGGAAACTAAAGCTGTTTGGAGACTGGCTGGAGGCCACCCAGCGAGTCAGAGGAAAATCCTCAGGCTGGATCTCACTCCCAGGGCCAGCCTGGACCACCGTGCCATCTCCCTGGAGATGAGGTTGCTCTCTTGTTACTTTCTTCTCAATTCAGAAGCCAATGTCATTGGCCAGGATGAGCCAAGAAGCTCTTCAGCAAGGTAGTCGGGGGCAAAGTATAGAATATTTAATAGTTGGTCTCAGTTTTGAGCAGATTCCTTTTAAATGATAGCAAATCAAACTGGCAATATTTGTCCAGCTGCCAATGTCTGCGAGATGCCCTGCTAAGTGTGTTTCCTCCTTTGGTAACGATCCTCACTCCTCCACCCATTTCTTCCAGGCCTTCCCTCATACCCCATCAATGTGTCCTCAGGTAAGGCTATAATGAACCCAGTCAGTTGTGATTCACTTATTTCCATTTTAAGAGGAGACAAAACTCGAAGACAAAGAAATGAGTTTTTCATGATGGAATTTTAAGTCAACTGACCCTTAAAAGTCACACTTGGTAGATGGCCACTTTACCCATCATTCTAACTTTGCTCTTTGTCTCTCCACTTCCCTTGACAAACCTCTACTCTCTCTTCTGGTCCTCACCCCACAAAGCCATTATGTTTGAGGGTCTTAAAAATGCTCTCAACTGAGAAATTCCTGTTCAAAGTGTACGTTATCCCTGGGCTTGTATATAACCTGCTCATGGGCACCCAGACACACTCCGAGCACCGTCCTACCAAAATGAGGTGTGTTTCCTTTTTGTTTGGGACTCTGAGTGATGTCTGTCCTCGGGAAACCTCCATAAAAATTTGTTAGTCAGAATTTGAAGGACCCACACCTACTGAATTTCCTTCAGTTCCATAAAAAAAATGGCCCTCATGTGCCCCAAGGCAGACTTTCTCAACCACAGTTGTATATTTGACTCGTTTAGGCAGCTATTAAAAACAGAGATACCAGGCTCTGTAGATTTTCTTTCTGTAGGCTTGTGGTGGGACCCTCGCAGCTGTGATTTTATTAAGTTTCAAAGCTCTCGATGCTCACCAGGAGCAAAACCCAGCACTATAAAGATCTGGGTTTGTGTAACCTGCAACATATGTCAACAAATTCCATAGGCCAAGATTATAAAATAGCAAAGCTGATTCCAGAAGGAGAAACTGGTCCCACTGTTTGATCGTTATGCCTTAATGTTTTCAGCACAAATTATCACGTGGAGCCGTAAGACAGATCAAAAGTATAAAACGTCTCCCCCGTTCTAAAGAAGTTTTCAGTAGAGCTGAAGAGAGAAAATAATTAAACCATGTGTTACTGATTATAAACCCATGGATGTTCCAGAGAAAATTTTATCACTGACTTCAATGAATAGGATTTGCAAAGGCAAAAGAGATACCCCAGAAAGTTACCTCCAATACTTTCCAGACAGAACACAGAGCAAGGTAGCACTCTAAAAACCCAGACAACATCACCATTTCTTCTCCCTTCCACTGAGAACTGAAGAAAACTCAGTAGGTGTGGGTCT